GCACGTTTCGTAGGGCGATGCTCATATTTCCCAAACTCAAAACAACGTTTACCCAACTTACAAAGATGATCAATATTGTTTCAGAACAAATTAATCAAGCGCAATTTAACTGGGATCAATCGCAGCAAAGTAAGATTCCATCACGTTACTTCGCTTATTTAATAAAGTATAGTTTCTATTGCATCGTTATAACGTGATAGTTGCAGATACGTTCGAAGGATACCAAACTCATGCTCCGTCGGAATCACAGAAGCAACTTAATCTTGATTATGCATATCAACCTGATCAAACGTTGCAGTCCTATCCTAGCGCCGTAGATGGCTTCACCATCAGTTGCAACGGTAAAAATAAAATCTGCGTGGCCAAAAGTCTGTGCATCAACGGGTATGTGCAACCCTTGAAGCAAGGCTTTATTCATCCAGGACAGGTGAGATAATCTCTTTTCGTTATTCCTTGTCGCTATTAGTAATTTTTTTCCGCGTTCGCACATTTTAATATTGGTCGAGCTCAACAGCTCGCACAATTCAGACTTAATAATCTTGTAATATTTGCGAGTAGGTACAGGAATGCAAGCTCAGCCATGAAGCATGTTGTACCGTGCAATACAATGTGCATAATCCGTACGATAATGATCCATTTAATACGGTGAAGGACAATCAGTACCCGGAACCTACTCTGGAAAATGATGAGAAATATGTTCCGTACGGAGATAATAATCAGGCAGATGTAACCGAATTGAAGCCTCCATTAGAAAATAATATCATATTGCAATCCCCGTCAAACAACGGATACAATATCGAGTCTGCTAATCAGCCTCATATCAGTATAAGACCAGTCAACGAAATACCAATTGATTACAATCACATACCTTCCGATACGAATCAACGAGAGCAGTATCAAACAGGTATGCAACAATTAATACGTCGATATCTTTTTCAATAATTTTTTCTTATTTCTTGGTAATCATATGGATTGGTGATGATTGTAGGTGATAGTAGTGCTAGCGAAGTTTTCCCATTAAAATCAGCCCCTACAAACTCGAATCCCGCGGTCTTCCAATTCTCGGTTCACATGGGATGTGCAGCCGCCCTGCTCTGCGTAGAAGAACAGTACTGTACGTTAGAAGGAACGATTAGTCCGCAACCAGTTAGGCTTACCAGCAACGAACTTATACGACGTGTTCCGTTAAGTGTAAGCAGTATAATAGAGTCAGTCAAAAGAGATTTAGTCAGAAGATGTTTTATATAAAGTTTACCAGTTTTTCACATACTATAAAGATTTGATCAAATATTGAAAAGTTTGCATTAATAATTTGTATTAATATTTGTCAATGATAAAAATATTCTAAATAATCAAATAAAGATAAAATGCGATGATTAAGAAAATAGAATTGGATTGCATGACTATACGCAAGTTGTTCGTTTTCGCAGAGCTGCAGAATTTCGGAGACCGGGGCAATCGGTAAATGTTGTCGCGATCCGAATTATGTGGATCCGTGGCCGACGGGCAATCTGCCGGCCAACTACACCGGTGGCTTCGACGAGCAGGGCTTCCCGACGTTCTTGAACATCGCAAAGGTACAACCGCCGAAGAAACCGATCACGCAGCCACCCATCAAGACGATTCCCAGACCGCCGATCAATCCACCCGTCGCGCCGCCACAGATTCACGAAGAGTTTCAACCCTCGAACGTTGTACCTCTGGTGCCGGACGATTCCGACGTGATTCCGCAACGGGTATTACCAATCTCGACTCCGATTCCAATAATACCTCCGATCAGCACCCCCGCACCGTTCAACACTCCAAGTGACCCTCCCATCGTGCCGGAATTGCAATTGCCCAACAATCTATGTGGAGTGAGAAATTACGTAAGTATCTCGATAGAATTACTCCTGTGAGAATGATTTTGCTTAGAGGCATTTATAAATCATGTTTTATAAGTACTTTTAGTATTTAATGTAGTAATAAAAGAATACGCAACTCTCGAGAATTTTAACATTAACAAAAGTGCTTGAAGAAGATCCTATTTATAACATGAGACTGGATATTTTATTTGTATCTCTGTACGATAAAAGGGACAACGCCCGATCGGCTTCCGAGAGACTGATGCAGCATTCGGAGAGATTCCGTGGCAAGCGATGATTCTGTGGTCGGAGGAACGTAAGATTTTGTGTTCTGGTGCCTTGATATCACCAGATATCGTTCTGACAGCTGCCAGTTGCGTAAATAGGTAATTTTCATTCTATAGGTGAAAATAGATAATTTTCACGCTAGGTGAATTGCAATAACACTAAGAGTGTTATTGCAATGTTAAAATTTTATTGAAAATATTTTTATCTTTTTACAACGGGTGCCGATTTTTATATATGAGCGCATTTAAATTCTTCAAAATGTTTTTGGCGAATTTATATACTCTCTAAAACTTTTGGAGTTCCAAATAATTTAGAGAGTAAATTACATATAAAATTATAAATGGAATTTTTTACCACAAAATATAAATCGTGTGTAGCAAACTTAAAAAAATAAAATTGAATTATACGATATCCTTCAAGAAAATCTCGTTTTCTTATTTGACTGCTGACGCGTTTATCTTTAGATCCAATTTTCTTGTTGATTAAGCAACTAAAGCATTTTTTAAATTCTTTCAGATTCCCTGCGAGTGAACTGTCCGTGAAACTCGGAGAATGGAAATTGGGATACGAACTTGAACAAGAGGAGCCGCTGCCATTCCAAATTATCAATGTACGAACGATCAAATATCATCCTGGATACGTGGAGGGATTGTCTAGCAACGATACTGCTATGCTCCTTTTGGAACATCCCGCGACATTTAATTTGCATGTCAACACGCTATGTCTTCCCGACAACTATCAAGTGCAAGAAAGCTCGCAATGCATCGTGACGGGTTGGGGCAAGTCGATATTACAAGGTACTGATGTGTCTACTGCTTTAAAAAAATGTTACGCTTGAAAATAGAAAATAAAATAAATATATATATATATAAATGCAAATATTATTTCAGCTCATTACGCGGGCGCTATCATGCACATGGTCGATGTGGATCTTCTGACGCGCGACGTCTGTCAAAATCGCGTCTCGGATGCAGAGTCCCATATCAACGTTGCACATAATATAATCTGTGGTAAAGCGCACGCAGAAAATAATATGTGCCAAGCTGATATCGGTGCTCCATTGGCTTGTTACGACGGCAACGGAGCCTACCATATCGCCGGAATTTACAGTCAAGACACTGGATGTTTGCCCACCAATCAGGTAAAACTAATTTTATAGCCATATAATTTTTGGCAACATATTTTGTATTAAAATTATATTTTAATTTTTACAATTATATTCAATATTTTGCCTCATTTCTATTTCCAAGAACTATGTTAAATTATAATTTTATTACAACAGAGGAAGTAAAAATTATTTTCTCTCAAACGACGTTAATTTAGCGTATGCTTTATCTAATAGACTTTATTTAATCCTTAACTGCTCCATTTTTTATTTATATTTCCGTGTACCGAAATACATTTATCAATCTTAGGGGTCTATTTGGTAACTTTTACTCTAGCGTTACAGTTATTAAGAGAAGTACAGAATGGTCCTCTTACATGATATTTCACGGATGCTTGTTTTAGGTGGCGATGTTCACACCCATTGACATCACCTGGCTAAAACAAACAATGTATGCACCCGAGCCTAAGATAGACGCTAGTGATGACGGCTACGATTATCGAAAGAGTAATTTACCAGCAGGTAACGAATATTTGCCACCAGTGTAAAGACAAACGGTATTCATACTGTTGTATAGCGTATTTCTTTTTTAATACTCACGAATGGTAGGACGAGGAAGCGCGCGACAGACGCAATCGTATAATACTCGATTATTAGCGTAATGCTGCAGAAAATAATTGGTGGCGTTTAATCGATTTTATGCTAAGTCGCGAGAAAGAGCCGGAAAGCAATTGTCGGGAGACTATTGCGCATTACAGATAATTGTTGCCAATACTAAATATAGACTAAAGTACTTTACGCTCATCCGCTTTCAAATGTCGTTATTCGGAATTTTTATAACATAGGAAAATGCAATACAACAATAGACATTTATTAGAGTGTAAATAGAGCTCGGGATCAATTCCATGGCGTAAAAAGACCAGGTATAACGCGTGTAATAAACAATTAAACATAATTTAGAGCAAATTTCTCTAACAACGGCTTTATATTGACTTACAAAATTTAAGGTCAATTTTTAATTGATCACAAATGTCATTACTTGGAACAGTGACACGTCCTTGAAATTAGTTGACCTGGTTTTTTTACATCATGATTAATTCAGCTCTGAAACAAGAGAACTCCGAGCAATTGTATGACAATAAAAAGAATACATGAACTCTTAGATTTTATAGGTGCAAATATATTTATTTGCCTGGTGTAATACAAAAATAATATAAATGTGTCTGTACATAACGGGAAACGTTGTATAAACGTGCTTCTGCGAGTAAGATTAAGCTATCGGGGAAGAACTATATCTATAAGAATTATATTATGTTTAATAAATATTTGTTAGAGAATATCAAAGAGATTTATACATAAAAATGCAACCTCCTTTATATACTTCTCCTTAATACCTTTATTAAGGAATCCGTAATACCTTTTAATTAAGAAAGACAATTATAGGTGTTTTCCGTCATTGAAAAGCAACGGAACACAATTATACATTGTGTGACATATTAATACACAGTGTTGACTTATATCTGAAACATTGGTTAGCTTTTTTATTTCATTAGAGTGAAATAAAAAAAGATTATACACCGAATATGTCCGAAATTTGAAACTTCTTATCAGAATATTACTTCTAGAAAAATAAGTGATAATAAAATATTAAAATTTGATATTCGTTTTAGATATACAATGTATATTGGTAAACAATACATTGATATACATATAATGACGACATAGTCAAATACAGCATTTTAGCTGTGTATGATTGTGTCGACTTGTGTCATAATCGGAAAGCACGAAATCGTACACAATGTGTTACACAATATTGCCTGTATACGCGTTGCTTAAGAAAATATTTCTTATATGCCTCTTTCAATAAATATCGTCGAAAATAAATACAACTAACATAAACACTATATTTATCTCTAATTAATATATAATCAGTTTATCTTTTTTGAATACGACAAACTTTTATGATTTTCGTTTAACATTTCCTTCACGAAACGCACAGTGAATACTACTATGGCGACAACGATTGCTGTACAAAACAAAAGAAATCCGATAACATCGATAAGGGATATTTGCCACCAAGTTAAATCCATCGCAGGCGATCGCAGAGAATCCTCGCCGTATCTAATGATGTATTCAATCCAATAATTAGCAGTGTCTATAGCGTTTAATGGCCGATCGAGGAATCGTTGGGATAATTTCCGCGCAGTTTCTCTGAAATAAATAAGTTACAAAAATACATTAAGCTATCATTAAAAATAACAAAACATAAATGCATATAAATTCAAGAAAACGATTAAATACAAATATATTCTAGAAATATAATAAGAAGATATAAAATGACAAGTGAGACTAAATAATTCACAATTTACAATTTCATTATCTCCCTGAACACTCTTCTAATAAAATTGTAAATATATTTTTTATATATTTTATAATTAGATATATATAATACTAATTACCGCACAATTGTATTTATTCTCACTCGATCTTATGAGTTTATCGTTTAAATTTTAACAGTCCATTGCATTAATAGATCTTATCAATGCATAAATATCATACGTTCTTGTCTAATAATAATATGCAAAAAAAAGATACAAGTCTGCATACCTATATAGAGGATCCCGTAAGATCGCGTTTAAAGCTGCGTCAAAGCTCTCTTCGGTAATCGTATCGATGTCCAGTCGCAGGGCAATGTTTCTAGCGACATACCTATCGATGTTTGTAAACTGATCGGCGAAAAGTGGTATACCGATCATGGGGACACCGCATGCTATCGATTCCTGGGTGCCCATGAGTCCGCCGTGAGTAATAAAGGCTTTTATGTTAGGATGTTCTACGACATATTAGACAGTTTTATAATTTCCTTAATTCAGAAAAAACAACTGGCAATTAGGAATTTATAAATATACTCGCAATATTTAAATTTTATATAAAAATAAAGTATCAAAAGAAACGTAAAACTTATATTCGCATATTTTTTTATACTCACTCAATACTTTAATTTGTGGCATCCAAGGAGAAATGTAAATGTTTTCGGGCAAAGCGGCTGGCAGTTTTTCCGGCTTTGGTATTTTCATTATAACCCGCACGGGTGCTATTTTGCCTAAGGAGGCGTAAAGCACTGTTAGAAATTTGCGTGGAAACGTTTCAATCATCATCATCGAACCAAAAGTGAAATAGATGAAACCATCTTTACTATCGTTCATCCATTTCTCTAATTCCTGCAGCAAAGATGGTGCTTTTAGCATGAATAAAACAATTTATGTAAATTTGATAATAGTAAATAAATGTACGAAAAATATTAATAGATAAAATCATATATTAATGCTATATATATATATATATATACACACAAAAGATAGCGTAAATTGAATAACGATTGACGCATTTTGTTTGATAACACACGTCGCGTTAATTATAACTCTTTATATATATATATATATATATGACGTGTGTTATCATATAAAATGCGTCAATCGTTATTTAATTGTTCCAATATAAGGAACTGAGAAAAGAACATTTATCGATTAATACTCGATAATGTACATTGATTAATGAATTTACATATACACATTCATATGTTACGCGGTTACGTGGCTAGTTTTATATTTTTATTTCATGTGTTTATGTTTGCTACCGCATGATTAAGCGTTTATTAGAATTAATTTTAGACAAGAAGATACGTCTTGCCAATAGGTTAACAGCATCCACAAGGTCGTGTTATTATGAACGAGCTGTATAATAAACTTTCTGCTCTCAAACTATTATGTATATTTCATATTTCTGCCATTAAGATTGTGATCAAAACGTCGCTACAAATGCTTTAAAATGTTTGATGGACCAATCAAAAGAAAGACAATTTTAGAGACATTTTTACAAATTGACCAATTAAAAAAATGGTTTAAAGCGTTTGTAGCACGGCGTTAATCGTACTCGAAGAAAGACGTTATCATAATATTGTATTGCGAAATATTTCACGATATTGCAAAACGATAAAAATTTTTGATATCTAATACAGCTATCATATCATGACCAGTCGATGACCCAAACATAAGCGAATAATTTATTATTATCAGAAAATTGTCAATAAAGTATTTTACGCTGTGAAATCTTAATGTTATAGATTTTTAAGAGAGAGAGAGAGAGTTTTCTTATTTAGTTATTTCTACATGTGAAACTCCGATAAACATTAAAAAAAAATCTTTAAAAAATGTTTTGCTTACTACTCACTCACGTATCAAATGATTTATCATTTTTTACACAGAAGTATTTATTTGCGTTACTTTATACATTACTGAGAGTATCATGCGCGCGAGCTTGTGATTCGTTGGCATGCGCTACATCGAAAAAGTGAAAACGGCCACGAAAACGGGTCATAAAAGCCGACTTACAGGCTGCAATGTTTCGTCCTCGTCCTGGACGTGGATTCCCCCCACGTCCACCGCAGCAGCTGTCTTCGGCTGTATCCCATTTAGCGTGATGTGAGAGTTGATGAGGACCAGCGACACCTTCTTTTCCAATTCCCGTACGCTCGGCATGTCCGGTCCGAAGTGTTCCCTTATCATTCTGTCCTGCTCCCGTGTCGTAAGATAGTTGAAATACCATTTGTCGTAGGTTGTAAATACGATGTTTTGCAGACGTTGCCAGAAATTCATGGATTCGGTCAAACTTAAAAGGTTGCTTGGCGTGATGGCCAGGCTCTCAGGTTGAGCGATCATATCAAATAGCCACGGATACAATGCCGTAGTGCTGATCCCAATCAAAGGAACTTTTAACATGTGAGCAATCACACCGAAACATTGCGCACCAAAAACCTAGAAAGACATATGAATATCTAAATAAATGATCATTAAACAATTTTACTAATTTGAAATATTAGTAGGTTAAAGCTTTTCCATTTATCAAATGAAATAAGAAAATAATAATTATACATAATATTGCATCACGTGTACAACAGCCATGTAATTTTGATGTGATAATGACACTAGTTAACAAAAAAGTTGTCTTAAATTATATGAACAAGACAAAATGTTTGTTATAGACTTTTGAATACTAAAGAATTTTTTCTTGAAAATGTTTTTTTCGAGATGTTTGAGATGAACAATTAAAACGAAATACTTTATACATATGTATATACAACGTTAATTTTTTTAATAATAATTTTCAAATATAAAAATTCAATTTTCATTAATGTCCAACTTCTTTACCTCTAAATAACTTTTATCCAGAAAATATCTCCTAAATAAGAAATATCTCCTGAACAATTTGTCTAAAAGTAAAGAAATTGGACATTAGTCATAATTATTTAGAAAACCTAACGTGCTGATGGAATTTGGCTTACGAAATATAGTATATCACCAAAGATAAATATAATATTGATCTCAGCAAGTGTAAAGCCTAATCGAGTCTTGAAAGCAAGGTGTTAATGTTTATTATATTATGTGAATTTATATACTGCGTATATAGGCTCGAACAACATTACCTTACTGATGAGTCCAGTAGATGGAAGCCGGGACGAAACGCCAACTTGTGATATTCTTCGCAATCTTATTTTCACAAATTTTAAATTATTACTTTAATATTAAATTTTAATATATGTCTTTCAACATATTATTAAGATCTAATAAGATGCTGTAGGCATCAAAAATTGGTTAGATTGATTCTCAATTTAACTAAGTGATATTACTGCGGTAGTGAATATGTATGCGTCAATGCTGAAAATCTATCAACATCGCGGGGTGGACTACATACGCAATATATAAATTCACATAATATAATAAACATTAACATCTTGCTTTCAAGACTCGATTAGGCTTTATACTTGCTGAAATTTTTAAATCATACGAGTCGATTATTATTATCTTTCATTATATATAATATTGATACAAATTCGAAGAGTTATATGTGATATTTTTATAGTTATTTAATTTTCAAATATCACGTATAATTTCGAAAAAGTTTGTGATAATTATGTTTATCTTTGGTGATATACTATATTTCTTTAGAATAACTATTTACACTTCTTTTTTAAGAATTCTCTCTTTCTAAATTTCATTTCATTCATTTAACAGAATTTGAAAATTTTAACATAGAAAATCGATAAGGTTTTTATATCAAACTTATATATTAAATTTATTTATCTAATTTGTTTACTTTGATTTTTAACTAAAAAGATTACATTTGAATCTTGAAAGATTATAAGTTGAATCTTAAAAATTTGCTGATAAATGAGATAAAATACGTAAAAGAGATACATACGTTAATTCAGCAAAGTCACGATCATCATTTTGATTCGTGATCATTTAAAACAATTTAAAGTGATTTATACATGTCATGGTCGTGATAATATGAATGATTATTGTATCAGTTTCGTGTTGTTGGAACATAGCAGGAAGAATTAAAAGTTCATCTCTTACGTCAGAAGCAACTGTATACTGCTTATTGACCTTCTGTTTACGTAAGATTAAAAAATTAATGTTGTGACAGAAAATTAATAAAAATGATAAAAATTTGTAACGTTTAAATCAGACAAAATTACATTCTATATATTATTAATAGAGATATTGACAATAAATATTGTAAATTATGCTTATTGCTGTACATGTATGCTCCTTTTATAAAAATGAGTCCTACAGACAATGGTAGGCAAAATTTAATTTATTTATAGATTAATAATTACGACAAAAAATTAAATTCTTGATTACAGTAAACAATTAAATGCTTTGAAATAAATCTTAAATGTTAATCAATTACATTTTTAATTAGTAGCTTTGATTGATTAAAGTAAATCATTACGTGTAATTATGATTAATTCAATTGATTGATTGAAAATCATTGTCTGCTGTTAATTAAAAAAAATCGTATTAATTAAAAAATTTTGTTAATTATTAATTTTTAATTAAGTACAGATTAAACCTATAATTAATATCTTTCGCTATAATTGACTAAATTAATCATAATTATACTAAATAGTAAACATATATCATTTTAATCGATTAATTTAGTTAAGCTCGAACTTAATTGATTAATCATAAAAGATTTCTTGACAATTAATTTTATTAATTGATCACATTAATTATGATTTTACGTACAATTTTAAATTTTTAGTCGATTATTTTAGTTAATTATTAAATTAATCGATTATCAAAATTACCTACATAGCATATTTTTCTAAAAACATTAAAAGTCTATTCAATTTAGATTCAACGTTTCAGGATACATATGTCGATTATATATTTTAATTATTAGATACTTTTGCTTTATTGATATAAAAATTAAAAAAATAGACTTCAGTAAATACCTTTACTTTTTAATCATTTAAGAGATATAATTTTTTTATTAATTTTACCTTCAGTTTTGTTACAATCATTCTTATAAAAATATTCTGTCTTAAAATGTAATTTTTATCAAAATTTCTATCTCAAAAAATGTTCTATCTCGAAAATGAATTTAAAAATTAATTATTAAAAAAAACCTTCTTGAAAATTTAACTACATGTATGTATAAAACATAATTTTTTAACAATTAGATTTTTATAAATTTATACCTCGATCAACACAGCATCATAAGGTGGATTCTTTGGTTTCGCTAGCTCTTTAATTTCTGGATTTCCTAAGAATTCGCAAAGTTCGTTTCCTCCCACTGTCGCAACAGCGTATGTTGGATTTGAACTAAGCAGTTGTTGCATTAGTTCAAACGACATATTGTTTACCAAACGCAAAGTTGTTGGCAGTGTCACAATATCGGTGTAATTCGGATATGGTTTCTTCAGAGGAAATTTGCTGACTACGTCGATTTGATGACCTTTCTTGGCCAGACCCTTCATCAGGTGCTCGAACATGACAAAATGACTCTTGCCTTGAAAAGGAAATAATCCAAGTATACGATATCCATGGCAAGTCGACAGGTAAATCAATAAAGGAAAAATCACTAGTAGCACTCTCATTTTTTATTCGTATTGTTGTATGAATTTCAGTCCAATCACCTAAGCAAAACAAATAAACTGAGTTAAAAGATTAATTTAAAGTTATTAACACTTCATAAATTTTGTACTTTAATTTTTTTACCCTTTTTAAATATTATATTTTAGATTAATATAAATAAAATTTAATTTTTTTATTTGTTAATATTTAAATCTTAGATTAAATTTTATCAATAAATTATTAAATCAAAGCATTTGTAAATTCAATAAATCAAAAATTTCCGGTATTATATCATATTGCCGGCTGCACGTTGTTGCACACTATAATGAACTGGCATTTGTAGATTCGTATTATCGTTTAAGTTACATATATAACAAACAGTGGGGATAGGAAACCATTGCGTGTATTTAAAAACACATACCACACAATACTTGAATATTTGAATTGATACAAAATTTGTACATGTGTCGTATCATAAAATATATCATTCTGGAATCAGTCTACCATGGTCTTAGGTAATCTGTCAGAAAGATAACATTTAATTGTCATTTGCAGTTGTCGTTTGTCATCAAGCAAGAGACAAACAAAAATACTGATGATATAATGTTTCCTTTGTTGCTTTCCTTTTCATAACGTTAGCTTTAGTTTAAGGATGAAGTCATCTGTGATGTTGATAAAATTAAGAACTTGCAACTAAATGAATGATTATAAACATGCTAATAAATGACAGTTCAAATAATGAGTAATTCAACTTATCTATGGGAAGAACTGAGAATGAGCAAATCCTCTTTTCTTACTTAATTACCAATAGTTTTTATGTTATCTAATCTCGTGATAATTGCGGAGAAAAAGGAGAAATTGTGATTTCTACTACGTTCTTTGAGAGAATAGGAGAGCAACAATATTTACATGATTTATAGGTATGTGTTATAAAAATGAAAAATAAATAATTTTCAAATGTAAACGCGGAATCACCCATTGAAGACAATGAACGATAACGAACGATTGAATTATACGACTTTCAATAGCTTTGATTACTTTTTGATTATTTATATAAATAATAAACTTATATAATATAAGAAACAAGAAAATGTACGTTTTTCTCATTTTTCTCTCTAGAAAGTTAAAAATGTATGCGCATATGAAATATAAGCGCAATTTTATTTTTAACTAATCACCTTATATTTTTGTTATCATATTGTATATATTAACATGTTTATTTTGTTTATTAACAATAATTTAGCATAATTACATAATTATAGTATATCAACAGTTAATAGTCTGTATAGCAAGAAGGTATATAAAGTATGAGAAAGAGAGAGAGAGAGAGAGAGAGAGAGAGAGAGAGAGAGAGAGAGAGAGAGAGAGAGAGAGAAAGATGTTAATTATATCATTGTATCAGTACCGTTACGTAAGATAATGAATTGATAGAACAACACCAAAAGATCTATAACACGCAAAATATTACTTAATGTTGGAGTCATCTGTAGCTTCGTGACGATCTGAAAAGATTAGGTAAAAAACCAGACCTGGATAAAAAACCAGATATTTTCCTTTCTTTTAAATTTTGATCAGCAACGTTTGTAACATTCCTGCCAGGCTAGAGATTAAAATCGAGATTGGGGATTAGAATTGGATTAATTAGAAAAAAGTAAATCAATATCAAAGGCTCTAGCAGGTTAAGAAGGGGTCAATCGGCCCCCAAACGGATTATGACCAGTATGTCACCAAAAAGTTCGTTGACCCGAAAAAAAAATTTGGAGAAATTTTTAATTCCGTACACCACCCCTTTTCGGAGATATTGCCTTATGAAGTATTTTCATATTTTATTTTTGTCACGAGACCTATCAGATACAATTTTATTAAAAAAATTTGGGCATACAAAACGTATCAAAAGGTATTTGAAAATATTTTTTGCGAGATGTTCCAACCTAACCATAATTTTTAAAAAATTCTTGAAAACTTATAAGTGACCCCCTTTTGTTAGTTTATGATTGGCAACCTCGCAAAAATTTAAAAACATGTATTTTTAAACTTATTTTCACCCTGAATTTTTTCAGAATTTTTTGAACCCGGCATCATGTCTAAAAAAATTAAAACTCGCCTAAAATTTGATTGTATATATGTAAACGATAAAATATTTTATATATGTACATATATACATATATAAATAATCAAATTACAATTCTGTTTGTGTGTGTGTGTGTGTGTGTGTGTGTGTGTGTGTGTGTGTGTGTGTGTGTGTGTGTGTACACATTAATTGTAATTTGATTAGAAAAATATCAAATAGAGAATTGGCGAGGTTGAATGCAAAAATATCTTAATAGATAAGATACAGAATAAGCAATGTATATTTCAATATTAATGCTATTGCAAACATATATTATGTAATAATAGAATGAAATATAATGTTGATTCATCATCAGCGGTGTACTTTAGACAATTAAATTAATACTACGATCTTTAATTACATATTTATATTAATTATATTTACCTTTTCTGGACAAAAAAGCACACAAATGTTACTGTTGACGCAGTGCTAAGTACTGTTTTTTTACGTAAGAAATTTTCACTGTTTAACAAAACATTTGAATAACTTCGTCCTAGTTGTTAAGTCAGTTAGTAAACAAATTCTAACAGTTTAAAATAATTTATAATTCGTTTAAATATGTTAATATATACAACACGATAACATAAAAAGTGGACTAGCGTTTCAAAGAAAATCGCATGTACACATACACATTAACTTGCAAATTTTTAACATACAAATAAACAGTATATACTTTTCATTACTTTTTTGTTCTGTTGTAAGTTATTATTGAAATTATGACGGTGCAATTATTATCAGAAATCATTGAAAATAGCAGTATTAATCGTAACGCCAAATAATCTTGCTGCATCTTGCAGCTAAAATGAAAGATTACATTATTACTGAAACAATAAGTATTTATTATTACTTATATTTGATTAATAAACACAAAAGTATAGAGCAAATTTAAAAAACTGCCACAAACCGTATAGCGTTATTACTGATCAAAACTGATAATCTAAAACTTATAAATTAGAGATATCAGATGATTTGCTGATTATCGCCATCGTCGTGTCTTATCCATTGTTAATGACAATAACAACGTTTTGTGAACATTGCTGTTTACGAAACGATGTCATAACAATGGATAAAGACACGGCAATAATTCGCAAAACTTCTGGTATCTTTAAAGAAAATACCCGTGAAAGCCTCAAAAGTGTTATCAAGGAATTTATAAACTATTTTGCAAATTTTCGTAATGAATTAACGAGATATTAATTTCAAAATATTATTGAATAAGTAGATATAATTGACGCACGAGATAATATTAAGATATTTTTCAGTGTTTTAAATGAAATATTTTATAAATAAACTCTTAAAAATTTCTTAAAGTTGTCTTATGTGCGTCGATTTTAGACAATCTATTTATTGAATAATTAAAAAAATTGCAAAGATTGCGAAGTGATTTAAAAGATTTAAATTTAGTTTTTGATAATTAATATTATAGTGCTACATGGTTTGAGAGGGGATGCTGTTTAAATTACACTCTGCATATTTATACTAAAAAACTTTAAATTAAAAAATATTTTTCTTTATTTTTTTGTTTATAAAATATAACTTTAAAAATGAAAACATTTAAACAAAATTAATTTTTTGTTAATTAAATAATATAATGAGTATGACTGCATCTAATATTGATAAATCGAGTAATATCTAATTTTAAGAAAAATTATTTACAATTATTTATATGAAATTCTGGGGGGGGGTATAAAATAATTTAAATTTAATTTCTTTTTAAGTGTAATTTTTTAAGAAAAGTAAAAATAATTTTGCGGCATACATAATACAGGGATAACTTTATTTTTTCTTTATTCAAAACATTGTGAGAGACAAATTACTAAATTTATGCATTAAACATATATATTACATATAAATTGATATATTATATAATCATAAATAAATACATTACATATATTTATATAAATATAAATAAAAAAAGGAATAAATATGAAGATTAGTACATCCTATATTACATATAAATTACAAATAAGATAAAGCACTTAATTATTGTACTGAACTTAGAATAATATTTTCTAATAAAATTCGAAAGCTAACAATTTAAGTATTATAGATCGATATATCCGTTCTTATTCCAAAGTATTATCTAATGTTTTACTTATAACATATTAATACATTGATTCATGACACCTTAGAATTGTATATAAAACGATTTTGAATATAAGGACGGATTATTAATATACAAGTGCACTTATTTGTAACTATCGTTTACAGCGTTAATGTAATTGGTAAATAATAATTAATGTTGCAAAATAACGTTTTTATCTTTCTAAAAAGTCAGATTGAAAGAGAAATTAAATATAAATTATTTTGAATAATTTAAATCTGAAAAATTAGAGAGATTTTTTCATTCGGTTGCAAAATCAGAAATGATAAAGTTATTATAGAAGTTAAGATGCAAAATAGAATTTGCTTATTATGTGTTAACTAAAATTAAAGAATATAAGAAATTAATTATATATTTTTTTATATAATTTCTTCGTTTTATAAATTTAATAAAAAATAATTAAATTTTGATTGACAATAATGCTAAAACTTACTAAATTTTATTTTACGTATTAATATGATTATTACATATATATGTTATAAGTAATAAATATTACAACGTTTACATTAAAACATTACAGCCATATATCTTTGTAACACCATATCTTATCCGTCTAAACAATTCGCAGCTTAATCTTTTTGCGATGCATTTTTACATAGTAAATTATCAAATTATAATATTCGTAAATGATAACAACATGAGTGTAATTTCTAATTCTTGTATACATAAGATTATGTCTTAAATATTCTTAGCATGTCATTAATTACGAAACTGTTGTGATTATTGTGATTAGTTTATCTAAAGATTAGCATCTAAGGTCGATATTTATAATCAGTTCTTATTCTTTTAAAATCGTATGACGCAATGCT